ATAATTTGTCTAGATAACATTAGATACAATGCAGACTGTCAAGATAACACAAGACACATCATAATTTGTCTAGATAACATTAGATACAATGCAGACTGTCTAGATAACACAAGACACATCATAATTTGTTTAGATAACATTAGATACAAGTAGTTTGTCTAAACAACACAAGATGCAAAGTCGTTTGTCTAGATAACACAGACTACAATGCAGTTGCATATATCACATTAGATACAGTGTAGTTTGGCACTCCAGACAGAGTTTTCTAGGGTTGTAAACTTTTCTATGTAGGGTTGCTGTTTGAGGCCCCCTTTTTATATCGGGGTTGAGTTAGGTTCATTGGACCCCATCAAAATTCTATGACCTTGCTGTTAGATTCTATATTCTCCCTTCAAACTTCTGTGACCTTGCTGTTAGATTTCATGGTCTTCCATCAAACTTCCATGACCTTGCTGTTAGATTCCAGGGTCTCTCATCAGAATTATATAACCTTGCTGTTAGATTCGATGGTCTCCCATCAAACTTCTATGACCTTGCTGTTAGATTCCATGGTCTCTCATCAAAATTCCATGACCTTTCTGTTAGATTCCATGGTCTTCCATAAAACTTTTATGACCTTTCTGTTAGATTCCAGGGATTGTCATCAAACTTCCATGACCTTGCTGTTAGATTTCAGGGTCTGTCATCAAACTTCCGTGACCTTGCTGTTAGATTCCAGGGTCTATCACCAAACTTCTTTGACCTAGATGTTAGATTCCAGGGTCTGTCACCAAACTTCTTTGACCTTGATGTTAGATTCCAGGGTCTGTCATCAAACTTCCATGACCTTGCTGTTAGATTTCATGGTCTCTCATCAAACTTCTATGACCTGGCTGTTAGATTCAATGGTCTCCCATCAAAATTCTATGACCTTGCTGTTAGATTCCAGGGTCTGTCATCAAACTTCCATGATCTTGCTGTTAGATTTCATAGTCTGTCATCAAACTTCCATGACCTTGCTGTTAGATTTCATGGTCTCTCATCAAAATTCTATAACCTTGCTGTTAGATTCTATATTCTCCCTTCAAACTTCTGTGACCTTGCTGTTAGATTTCATGGTCTTCCATCAAACTTCCATGACCTTGCTGTTAGATTCCAGGGTCTCTCATCAGAATTATATAACCTTGCTGTTAGATTCGATGGTCTCCCATCAAACTTCTATGACCTTGCTGTTAGATTCCATGGTCTCTCATCAAAATTCCATGACCTTTCTGTTAGATTCCATGGTCTTCCATAAAACTTTTATGACCTGGCTGTTAGATTTTACAGTCTCCTATCAAACTTCTATGACCTTTCTGTTAGATTCCAGGGATTGTCATCAAACTTCCGTGACCTTGCTGTTAGATTCCAGGGTCTGTCACCAAACTTCTTTGACCTAGATGTTAGATTCCAGGGTCTGTCACCAAACTTCTTTGACCTTAATGTTAGATTCCAGGGTCTGTCATCAAACTTCCATGACCTTGCTGTTAGATTTCATGGTCTCTCATCAAACTTCTATGACCTGGCTGTTAGATTCAATGGTCTCCCATCAAAATTCTATGACCTTGCTGTTAGATTCCAGGGTCTGTCATCAAACTTCCATGATCTTGCTGTTAGATTTCATGGTCTGTCATCAAACTTCCATGACCTTGCTGTTAGATTTCATGGTCTCTCATCAAAATTCTATAACCTTGCTGTTAGATTCTATATTCTCCCTTCAAACTTCTGTGACCTTGCTGTTAGATTTCATGGTCTTCCATCAAACTTCCATGACCTTGCTGTTAGATTCCAGGGTCTCTCATCAGAATTCTATAACCTTGCTGTTAGATTCGATGGTCTCCCATCAAACTTCTATGACCTTGCTGTTAGATTCCATGGTCTCTCATCAAAATTCCATGACCTTTCTGTTAGATTCAATGGTCTCCCATCAAAATTCTATGACCTTGCTGTTAGATTCCAGGGTCTGTCATCAAACTTCCATGATCTTGCTGTTAGATTTCATGGTCTGTCATCAAACTTCCATGACCTTGCTGTTAGATTTCATGGTCTCTCATCAAAATTCTATAACCTTGCTGTTAGATTCTATATTCTCCCTTCAAACTTCTGTGACCTTGCTGTTAGATTCCAGGGTCTGTCACCAAACTTCTTTGACCTAGATGTTAGATTCCAGGGTCTGTCACCAAACTTCTTTGACCTTGATGTTAGATTCCAGGGTCTGTCATCAAACTTCCATGACCTTGCTGTTAGATTTCATGGTCTCTCATCAAACTTCTATGACCTGGCTGTTAGATTCAATGGTCTCCCATCAAAATTCTATGACCTTGCTGTTAGATTCCAGGGTCTGTCATCAAACTTCCATGATCTTGCTGTTAGATTTCATGGTCTGTCATCAAATTTCCATGACCTTGCTGTTAGATTTCATGGTCTCTCATCAAAATTCTATAACCTTGCTGTTAGATTCCATGGTCTTCCATCAAACCTCTATGACCTTGCTGTTAGATTCCAGGGTCTGTCATCAAAATTCTATAACCTTGCTGCTAGATTCCAGGGTCTCCCATCAAACTTCCACGACCTGGCTGTTAGATTCCATGGTCTCCCATCAAACTTCTATGACCTTGCTGTTAGATTCTACAGTCTCCTATCAAACTTCTATGACCTTGCTGTTAGATTCCAGGATCTGTCATCAAACTTCCATGACCTTGCTGTTAGATTCCATGGTCTCCCATCAAACTTCCATGACATTGCTGTTAGATTCCATGGTTTCACATCAAACTTCTATGACATTGCTGTTATATTCAATGGTCTCTAATCAAAATTCCATGACCTTGCTGTTAGATTCTACAGTCTCCTATCAAACTTCTATGACCTTGCTGTTAGATTCTACAGTCTCCTATCAAACTTCTATAACCTTCCTATTAGATTCCAGGGTCTGTCATCAAACGTCTATGACCTGGCTGTTAGATTCAATGGTCTCACATCAAAATTCTATGACCTTGCTGTTAGATACCAGGGTCTGTCATCAAACTTCCATGACCTTGCTGTTAGATTCCAGGGTCTCTCATCAAACTTCTATGACATTGCTGTTAGATTCTATTATCTCTCTTCAAAATTGTTTGACCTTGCTGTTAGATTCAATGGTCTCTCTTCAAAATTCCATGACCTTGCTATTAGATTCCATGGTCTCTCATCAAACTTCTATGACATTGCTGTTAGATTCCATGGTCTCTCATCAAACTTCTATGACATTGCTGTTAGATTCCATGGTCTCTCATCAAACTTCTATGACATTGCTGTTAGATTCCATGGTCTCTCATCAAACTTCTATGACATTGCTGTTAGATTCCATGGTCTCTCATCAAACTTCTATGACCTTGCTATTAGATTCCATGGTCTCTCATCAAACTTCTATGACCTTGCTGTTAGATTCCATGGTCTCTCATCAAACGTCTATGACCTTGCTGTTAGATTCCATGGTCTCTCATCAAACTTCTATGACATTGCTGTTAGATTCCATGGTCTCTCATCAAAATTCCATGACCTTGATGATTTTGTTGCACACGACAAGTATCTACTCTAACTTGCGCGGAATTCTTCTAGATAATGTTCTTAAGTAACGTGTTCTAGCGTGACTCGGTTTTGGTATTTACAACTGTAGTAAGAAATATCAGCAACTCTCTGACCTGCTCATAAGATGTTACACTTCATTTCCAGCTTTTGTCTTGAATCTTAATGAAGGTATTTCCAGAAAAAAGTAACGTTTCATTTTAACGCCATAGTGTTGGTTCGAGGTTCTAACACATGGGCAAAGCTTCTTTCGTACAGTGATGTCCAATTTCGACCTTTCTTGTAATTGAAAATCAATTTGCGACAATGCAAGCTTTACCAACAGATTTCCTGTTGATAATTCTGAGATATGACTTTCTTCAAGTTGCCGAAACTGTAACCTGGTCCATGAAGTAGACTGGACTCGACACCTAGACGACAAGTCCATGTTGATGACGACATTGTGGAACATGTGTCTCTTCGTCTTGTTAATGCAGTAGTTCGTTACTAACACGACAATCAATCATACTCAGACAGCAAACTTCGGAACTCTAAGACCGATTAGTCCCGACACTGTCTGTCGACACGACGGAGTATCTACTCACCAACAGCTATTTTCGGACGTTTTCGTATGTAACATTGTTGATGTCTCGCAGAGTGTGTGTCCGTTGGCTTTTATGGTGATTATTTTTTCCTGTTTTTGTACAAATGTCGCCGTCGTCTATACCTACTCAGTATCATCGTCATCGTTAGAAATCGTTTATAACGATAGATATTTGTTTATCTTCATCAATCGACATAAGGATTTAGGTGACAAAACTTGTCAATTATTAAGAAAGCGGCTAATACATTAACGTTTTAAACTAACTTTCTTCCGGATGATATATTCCGACAAAATAAGCGCAAACTTTTCCCGCCAAGCTGGTACGAGTTACATTGTCACCTGTTATTGTGACAGCATTAATTTAAGACATTAAAATTTATTCGTTCCTTGGAGTTGGGAAAAAGAAAAAAATGAAATAATTTTATTGGACAAGATCTGAAAGCAAGTCTCCAGGATTCCAAATGAAACACTGCACATATGATGTGTGTACTCACTCAGTGGTGTTGAATACCATATAGAGGAGCGCATTGCCATAGTTATTTGATTTAAGTCTTCTATCGTATACTTATCTCAACTCCATAATCACCGGAGTAATCAGTCTGGTGTTAACATGTCACAACTCCATCATTACCGGAGTCATCAGTCTGGTGTTTACATGTCACAACTCCATCATTACCGGAGTCATCAGTCTGGTGTTTACATGTCACAACTCCATCATTACCGGAGTCGTCAGTCTGGTGTTTACATGTGTCACAACTCCATCATTACCGGAGTCATCAGTCTGGTGTTTACATGTGTCACAACTCCATCATCACCGGAGTCATTAGTCTGGTGTTTACATGTCACAACTCCATCTACATGTCACAACTCCATCATTACCGGAGTCATCAGTCTGGTGTTTACATGTCACAACTCCATCATTACCGGAGTCATCAGTCTGGTGTTTACATGTCACAACTCCATCATTACCGGAGTCATCAGTCTGGTGTTTACATGTCACAACTTCATCATTACCGGAGTCATCAGTCTGGTGTTTACATGTCACAACTCCATCATTAACGGAGTCATCAGTCTGGTGTTTACATGTCACAACTTCATCATTACCGGAGTCATCAGTCTGGTGTTTACATGTCACAACTCCATCATTACCGGAGTCATCAGTCTGGTGTTTACATGTCACAACTCCATCATTAACGGAGTCATCAGTCTGGTGTTTACATGTCACAACTCCATCATTAACGGAGTCATCAGTCTGGTGTTTACATGTCACAACTCCATCGTTACCGGAGTCATCAGTCTGGTGTTTACATGTCACAACTCCATCATTAACGGAGTCATCAGTCTGGTGTTTACATGTCACAACTTCATCATTAACGGAGTCATCAGTCTGGTGTTTACATGTCACAACTCCATCATTACCGGAGTCATCAGTCTGGTGTTTACATGTCACAACTCCATCATTACCGGAGTCATCAGTCTGGTGTTTACATGTCACAACTCCATCATTACCGGAGTCATCAGTCTGGTGTTTACAGGTCTTAATTCACCTAATACCAGAGTCATAAGTCTAGTGTGAATGCTTCTATGAAAAAATTCACGTGTTAAAATCGTAATATCAACGTGATTTGAACACGACACGTGTACGTTAGGCGCATGAATTTAGGTGCTGGTAATCCCAATGACAGTCAAATCATACATGTCATTTTAAAATCAATTTTTAGACAATAGTTTAAATTAGTATTACATGACGTTATTGCACTACACTTTAACATATGTTTCATGAATATTCATAACGTACGATATTAACATATATAGAGCAATGATTTGGTATCAGATTGATGCATTAAGTAGTCCGCTTTGTGACCTACCATTTCACGATATCGTGAATAGCTGCTATATCAGCATAAATTTGTTAGGACACAAAATGTGGACAGTATTAGGAATATCTATACAAAATGTCTTACTGAACAGGCGATACTCTCAAAACACCTATTATGAGGCCCTACTTGTAGTTAACCCAAAAAATATTCACGTAACAATTCCGTTTTAGGGTGGTTTTATATATATGCAAGGTCATTATCTTGGCCATTGGGTGTCATTCTAATAAAATGATACTCATTCGCTTTAAAATCGACTTATGCAAATCTGTTCTGAAAATAATAGCTAATAGTTTTGTACTTTACTCAGTTTTCTTAAACTCATGACTGTGATATACCTCGTCAAGGTCATGTCTTAATGTCACGCTGATAAGAATGAATCTTTTTTTGTCAAGTACAAGTATAGCTTTTTGCTTAAATACAACTGCGAATGATGATATGTGATTACAGTGTCATTAGTTAAGAGGGAACCCCCTCCCAGGAGATTAGTGTTCAGTAGTGGCTAATCACTGACGTTTAACACTGTACTGTGACCCAGGTGGTAGTATTTATGTCATGAGCAGGTCGACTGCACAACAGTGTTGTCAAATGCGGTTCACCTTTGAAGAAGGAGAAGCGGAGAGGTTGAGCGAGACAACGAGGCTCTCGAGCGTTACTATAGTAACACATGTGTTGCAGTAAGACTACATATGAAATTAGATCGGAATATTGTTTTTTACACAAGATTTACAAGCATTGTTACACGAAGTCAATAATACGTTATAAATGTAGACTTTCATACTTCTCAGGAATAATGGACGTTAATTTATTTCATTGTACGTTTTAAACTGATGACTCCTTATCATATCGTTGATACTGCGAATCAAACGTGAAATACTATTGATTAATGATAATACTTATAAACTAAAAATAAAACTGGCACAATAGCAGAGGCCTTTCTGTACTTTTCGATAAGGTCATTGTAAATATTGCTAGATACTAATGTTCGTGATATAGAAATAATTTTCTGACTTAAGATAATAGTTACCCCTATTCATAGTCACAAGTGGTGAGGGCCCCCCTCCTCTCCCTGAGTACTCTAAACGACTAAAGAACAATCATAAGGACCAACTAGAGACATCCAGTTCCAGATCTCATTTTTTTCACACCGATCAGACGGACGTTTGTCCAATAATACTTTACAGTCCTGTATTTAACCAAACGTTCTGATGGTCGTTTGAAAAGTGATCAACTCATCTCAGAAATAGAAGATAAGGATATTCTTTTATCGCCGAAATTATTGGAGATGATTATGTGCATGTTGAAGTGCAGTAGGTCCTTGTAAAAGTACATCCATCTCCTACCAACACGGCTCATTGCTGAGTAAGAACAGCTCTCCGGGACAGGATACAAGGATTTTGGCGCGACACCGATTCCGGTACAGACAGCATTTCTACGGCGGGACATCATTTCCGGGAAAGATGTTATTTTCATGGCGCAACATCGATGCCGAGGAAACGATAACGTCATGACGCGACATCGATTCCGGGACAAACGGCCATGCAAAAGCTTCAAGTCCGAGCTCGACTCAAGGCTGAGACAAACGACGCAGTAAAGACACTAACTCCAGACTGTATATACAACACTGTAAAGACTCGAATACGAGACAGACGACACAATTAAAACTGATCTCGAGTACACAAAAAGTTCGACTCCAAGTACAAGGTCAATTTTTGTTTGTTTGTGCATACGGGACAAACAACACAATGAGAATCAACAACGAGTACGATAAAGACGCCACAATAACGGTTAAACAACGAGCACGATAAAAATGACATAATTAATCCTCGACAATGAGTACAGCACAAACGACACAATAAAGACTCGACAATGAGTACAGCACAAACGACACAATAAAGACTCGACAATGAGTACAGCACAAACGACACAATAAAGACTCGACAATGAGTACAGCACAAACGACACAATAAAGACTCGACAATGAGTACAGCACAAACGACACAATAAAGACTCGACAATGAGTACGGAACACACAACACAATAAAGACTCGACAATGAGTACAGCACAAACGACTCGACAATGAGTACAGCACAAACGACACAATAAAGACTCGACAATGAGTACGGAACACACAACACAATAAAGACTCGACAATGAGTACGGAACACACAACACAATAAAGACTCGACAATGGGTACGGAATACACAACACAATAAAGACTCGACAATGAGTACAGCACAAACGACACAATAAAGACTCGACAATGAGTACAGCACAAACGACACAATAAAGACTCGACAATGAGTACAGCACAAACGACACAATAAAGACTCGACAATGAGTACGGAACACACAACACAATAAAGACTCGACAATGAGTACAGCACAAACGACACAATAAAGACTCGACAATGAGTACGGAACACACAACACAATAAAGACTCGACAATGGGTACGGAATACACAACACAATAAAGACTCGACAATGGGTACAGCACAAACGACACAATAAAGACTCGACAATGAGTACAGCACAAACGACACAATAAAGACTCGACAATGACACAATAAAGACTCGACAATGAGCACAAACGACACAATAAAGACTCGACAATGAGTACGAACACACAACACAATAAAGACTCGACAATGAGTACACACACAACACAATAAAGACACAATAAAGACTCGACAATGAGTACAGAACAAACGACACAATAAAGACTCGACAATGAGTACGGAACACACAACACAATAAAGACTCGACAATGGGTACGGAATACACAACACAACAAAAAAACTCGACAACGAGTACGGGAGAGGCGACACAATAAAAACGAGTGCTCGACGACAACACACAACACAACAAAGGCTGAGTGCACACAACACAATAAAGACTCGACAATGAGAGGCGACACAATAAAGACTCGACAACGAGTGCGGGAGAGGCGACACAATATAGACTCGACAATGAGTACGGAACACACAACACAATAAAGGCTCGACAATGAGTACGGAACACACAACACAATAAAGACTCGACAATGAGTGCGGGAGAGGCGACACAATAAAGACTCGACAATGAGTACGGAATACACAACACAATAAAGACTCGACAAAGAGTACGGGAGAGGCGACACAATAAAGACTCGACAATGAGTGCGGGAGAGGCGACACAATAAAGACTCGACAACGAGTGCGGGAGAGGCGACACAATATAGACTCGACAATGAGTACGGAACACACAATACAATAAAGGCTCGAGAACGAGTACGGAACACACAACACAATAAAGGCTCGACAATGAGTACGGAACACACAACACAATAAAGACTCGACAATGAGTACGGAATACACAACACAATAAAGACTCGACAACGAGCACGGAATAGGCGACATAATAAAGACTCGACAATGAGTGCAGGAGAGGCGACACAATAAAGGTTCAACAATGAGTGCGGGAGAGGCAACACAATAAAGGTTCAACAATGAGTGCGGGAGAGGCGACACAATAAAGGTTCAACAATGAGTGCGGGAGAGGCGACACAATAAAGGTTCAACAATGAGTGCGGGAGAGGCGACACAATAAAGGTTCAACAATGAGTGCGGGAGAGGCGACACAATAAAGGTTCAACAATGAGTGCGGGAGAGGCGACACAATAAAGACTCGACAACGAGTACGACCTAATCTCTCGAGTCTCGAGTACGTGACCAACAACATAGTAAAAACTCGAGAACAATCAAACTAGGCAACATCGTAAAGGCTCAACCTTGAGTATAGGAACGACACAGTAAATGTTTAGTAACCAGTATAGTAAATAAAGACGAAATGGACATGTAACTACAGTTATGGGGAAACCGGGTTTGTGGCTTCAGCTTATCTATAGAAGTTTAATACTCTCCTTCTGGTTTCCAACGAAATTCATAAATATAGATTGGTTTATATATTAATGTTTTACATCCTATTAACAAATAGGATCATTTAAGGACGTGATAGGTTTTTGGGTGATGGAGGAAATCTGGAGTTTCCGAAGAAAAATCACCGACCTGGGGCCAGTACAGTACCAGGTGATTGACTTATCTAAGTATACATATAGCGGTAAAGGGAAACCGACTTTTAGGCTTCAGCTCATCTACAGAAGTTTAACTGATAAATATAGACTTGTTAGCTGTTAAAGTTTATCGGGGTTTTCCTACCGCTAGCATATCATCAAACGCTTTAACCAGCCAAAACGAGTTCAACATGGTATATCGCTTGCCTAAAGCGACGAAACGATGATCCAAACGAGCCTTCCTGACAGTTGGACATATCGAACACCCTCCTTCGAAAACCGGCACTGTTTCTTGGTTCACATGAAATGTTTTTGAGGATTACCAGTTTAGTTAAGTTTTTTTCTGGGATAGGAAACAAACAAGTCAGTCCAGTACTTATTGTACTGAACTTGATATGAAATAGAATTTAACAAACGAAAAAAAAAGATAAAAAAAACATTTTGCACCCCCCTCCTTAAACATGTTGCATAACCAGATGGATTATAAAAATGTTGTATTTTATGCAGTTTAACCATTAGTAATGGGGTGTTTCAAAATCAGATATTACAAGTATTTCGAAATATAATAACAGACAATGGTTTGCTTGGCATATAAACGTGAAAAGTCCCTAAATGTCTGGTTTTACGTTTATATATATAAAATATAGTATCTCAGTTATCGCGCACACAAAATAATCATTCGAACTTAACAATATCGTGCTATGCAAACATCGCTGTACCCTTAAAATGCCAATTCTGGATAAAACGACTTTCTAAAAAAAATTAAAACAAATGTAGTGGACATTGATTATAAGTTATCATATTTAACAATTAAAAAAATGCCTAAATAGTTTACTTCTAGTATCTGTCCTGATTTCGAATTAATTACTAAATTGTACCTTTTTAACCGTTTTTTAATTAGCCGTTTTATCATTTGGTAACGACTTTCAATGTTTTATTTTTATATCCTGATAACACTGGATATTTCTGTGTGTTGACATAACGTGATTCTTTTTCTTCGTGTGTTTACTTACATCCATCTCTCTCTGATGTTTATTTTTATAGATTATAAAACAAAATGGACAAGTTAGTTTTTCAAATTAAAAATAAAAATAAATAAATGATAATGAAATAGCGTGCGAGTGGAGTAAAATCTGATGTACTCAAACGATCCGAAATAAAGATGGCGTTAAAATTAAATTCCGCAATCTGGGATAATTGGACATTCTTGAAATACTGACATTTCGTCATGTTACCAGCTATGTTCGTGACTTAATGGTATATTAAAGTACATGATTACACAGGATCGAGCGATTTTTAAAGAGGACGAGGGAGATTAAGTCAGTAACATGATGGTGAGAGATAGATTGTACATATCTGGCAGGCTTTACACATAAAGATACACCTCTTTTACTGTCAAATTCACACAGCTTTTAAACTGAAATTATTAATTATTAGAATCAGAGACGAATCAGGTCTTTATGGGTCGAATTTGATTGAAAGAGCGAACTGTCTGTTTAATACTAGTTTATAGTGCATCTCACCTGTGTTGGGACGAGCAGGCCACTCGGGCGGCAGTTCAGACCGAGTCTAATCAATCATCTCAATAGTTATAACGACGAATACAAATTCTCAA